TCAGCGTATTCATGTTCAAATTCACTATGTTTATGGCAGCAAGTTTACACGCGCAATTTCTGACAACTGGTGGACATCACGTACACTAAATCCTATTTGGACTCTTCACGAATTCTTCAGTTTGACTTATTCTGTGTATCTATTTTGAATTTATAACAGCTGAAATAAAATATTAATTTAATTGCCCTGTGAACAAAATCGTATTTTGCGATTGTTCAATCGAATTTAGAAATATACATTAGGAAATGTAAGGTGAACAGCTGGTACTAATGACGTTAGATTGTTTTCAACAAATCATCATTGTAATTGTTTAAAACAGGTTAAATACTTCCTTATTGTTTGAAGTAGTTCTGATGTTCATACACCAGTATGAAATCCTTCCAGAAGGGCACAAGTAGGTATTGGGATCGATCCGAATAGCACGAGTTGGTCACGAATGGCGCAGATATATGGTGCAAAATCGTGTCATGAATGTTAAATTTTTCCATAAGAAGCCTGTTATTTTTAATTACTTCGGACAAATAGTTAGTTGTTTGTTGTTTGACGCCGCACTGAGAAATATTCCCACTACATGGCTGTGCATTTAAATAAACCATAAAGTGGTTGTCCATAAAATTGTACCTCTTTATGCTTGAGTTCTCTAACTCATCATCAAACAACATGTTGTATAGTAACATTCAAATTCTGCTTCATGATGCAGTTTATTGCTTCTGTTATTGCCATGCCAATCTCTAACTTCGGTGTTTGATAAAAAATCACATTATGGCACTATATTATGAATGAGTGAGTTTAGTTTTACGCCGCACTCCGCAGTATTCCAGCTATATGGCGGCGGTCTGTAAACAGGCGCGTCTGGACCAGACAATCCAGTGATCAACAGCATGAGCATCGATCTGCGCAATTGGGAACCAATGACATGTGTCAACCAAGTCAGCGAGCCTGAACACCCGATCCCGTTAGTCGCCTCTACGACAAGCATGGGTTTCTGAAGGTCTCATTCTAACCCGGATCTTCACGGGTCCTATATTATGAATATACTTGACCTTCTTTGCCAATTCCTTCAAAAGGAAAGACTTCTTTAAAATTTCCTCTTCTTAAGATATCAATTCCATCACAAATTCTCACACAGTCGCCGGAGTACGCATCAATAAACAAATTCACTAACTGCAAACTTTCTGACAATTTGGGTGACAGTCACAACTTAACGCTAAAGATTGAGTTTGTCTGTATGTTACCTTCCATATATTTCTGTAACCTATACTAATTGTCAATAATACATGTCTTATGCAAAACTCTTCAGCGTTTTATTTTCTTTTCCAATGTTCCCCTGTATATATTGTATGGGTCATGCTATTTCATATTTTTTTTATCTCTCTTATTAGCAATCAGTTGAAACTTTAAACAACACCTGGCTGCTTTGATTTCACTGGTTTCGTGTATGTGGTTATTAGGCAAAGAATATTTGATGCACTGCATCGATGTGCCCTGTAAATATGCAGGCTGAGTGAGTGAGCGAAGTTTAGTTTTACCGCCTCAGCAATATTCCAGCTTTATGGCGGCGGTCTGTAAATAATCGAGTCTGGACCATACAATCCAGTGATCAACAACATGAGCATAGATCTACAGATCTACGCAATTGGGATATGATGACATGTGTCAACCAATTCAGCGAGCCTGACCACCCGATCCCGTTAGTTCCGTCTTACGACAACCATGGGTTACTGAAGATCAATTCTGACCCGGATCTTCACGGGTCAACTATGCAGGGGCTACTGTTACAAGCACAAACCGAAACATGAGTCTCATGAACCAATTCAGACAATGACCTACTTTTCAGCCGATCCGAATTTTCTCGTGTGAAAGCAAAAGAGACACTACAAACAACCATGGTTACACTAAATTCCAATTCCCTTGTTTCATAAGAAAAAGGATTTTAACTTCATAGTTAAAAAAATGGTATTTCTATGTTTTATGTCGAGGTTTAGGCAGTATGTAGTTAACTGAGGCGTCACAGACTGTCCCTCTTTGAAGAGGTCATCATAATTCACCTGGCTCACTGGTTACACCTGTTATGCGTGTTTTCTGCGCTTATTAAGTGTATTTTGATAACTTACAATGTGATTGATGTAACGACAAGTCCGTACCAGACCACCAAACTTTTCTAGCGGCCGAGCCTCGTGTTTTGAAATTTCCACGATTTGCAGATTTCCGTTTGTCAGAGCAAGCTGTAGGACAGAGTACGCTGCACGGCGGAGCACACGCTACGACAGAGCACGCTGTACGACAGAGCACGCCGCACGATTTGTATGCAAGGATTAGAAGGAACGTAGTGTTGAAATGTATCAAATAATACTGATTAATATTTATATATCCAGTTGAATGAGTTTGGCTAAACATTCTGGACTGGCTATTATACTTATTTGCGCAATAGGACGGAACTCAGTCAGCAGGAAACGTATCATACGTATAAAACTTGTGTTTGTTATTATTTGATTCGAAAATTACTCCTTTCTTAAAATTTTATGGGGGTGAAAATCTTTACCAATATAATTTAAATATGATTATAGATGAGTTAACGGTTCTGTTAGTTTTCCCAAAATACGACTATATTAGTGGTAAATATGCACAACTGCCTGTGTGTACATCCCATTTAACAAAAAGGGCGGTAGGATAGATTAGTGGTTAAATGCATGGCAACTACTGGTCACCTTGAAGTCCCGGGTTCGATTCCCCAGAATGGGTGCAGTATGTGAAGACCATTTCTAGTGTCCGACACCTTGATTATGTTGGAATATTGTCAAAAGTGACGTCATTAGCATACCCACTTGACAAAACTCTGTAACAGTCAAGTCATTAAAGAATATTTTTTTATCCATGTTCAATGACCATGCTAATTAGAACATTAATTCTAAAACATGGTATGCAACCGCTCCAAAATATGACTATACGATGGTACTGCAATTGTACTCATCCTAAATCAGTCTTTTATATTGTCGAGTAATATATTGTTGCACTAGATTGAACGTAACTGTTCTAAAGATAAATTGGTGTGCGTTTGAATAATGATCAGACTATCAGAAAAAGCAGATTGTGTAACTCATTAACCTTTATCTCGACTGCTTATCCTGTACAGTGATTTCGCCAACTATCAAGCTCGGGATCCTATGCTGTGTATCCAGGTAGGAATCAGTACACTTCAATGAATTTGTCAGTCAAGACATGATGTTGTCATTTTGTGACGATGTAGTATTGGCCACAGTTGTTAACGCGCGAATATCTGCTTTACACAGACGAGGGCGATCCTCCTATATGTATCCCTTGTGATGAAAAGGTATCGTAGCTCTTAATAAAATACTTTGAAAGAAAGGGTCTGTATAACAAACAGACAATGGCTTCCAATACCAGATACTGATGAGGTTTATGATACTGCAAGTCAAAACATTGATTACACAACAGTCTCGTTTCCTGCCGACTGGGTTCCGTCCCATTGCGCAACTTAGTACAATAACCAGTCCAGAATTTTGAGACCAACTCATTCAAAATATTAATCAGTATTATTTGATACATCTAATCACTTGCATATTTCAACACTACGCTCCTTCCAATCCTTGAAAACACGTCGTGCAGCGTACTCTGTCGTACAGCGTGCTCTGAAAAACGGAAATCTGCAAATCATGGACATCTCAATACGAGGCTCGGCCGCTAGAAAAGTTTGGCGGTATGGTACGGACTTAATATTACATCAATCACATTGTAGGTTAAAAAAATATATTTAATACGTGCAAAGAACACATACGACCTCTTCAAAGAGGGGCAGTCTGTGACGTCATAGTTAACGACATGCTGCCTGAACTTAGACGATATTTTTTAACTTGAAAATTATAATGAATTTGTAAATACCATTTTCATATGAAACAAGGAATTGGAATTTAGTGTAACCATGGTTGTTTGTAGTGTCTCTTTCCACTTTCACACGAGAAAAAAATTCGATCGGTTGAAAAGTAGGTCATTGTCTGAATTGGTTCATGAGACTCATATTTCGGTTTGACATGTTTTAACGAGAAAAATGCCTCTATTATGAGCTGTCCAGACAAAAAAGCAAGAATATCTGACGTCTTGCAACGTCCCTTACAGACAGTTCGAAGTTTAAGTACAGTTCGTGCAAAAAAACAGACAAGGTACAATGGAACACAACAAACCAGAATGCGATGGTTGCAAATCATGGTCACGTGGTTTTGAGAAGACGAAGAGAAGACATGCCATATACTCAGTTCAATTCCCTTCAACTAATCCGGAGTAAGTCCACGCATCCAAATTTCCTAGATCGATGCTCATGCTGTTGATCACTGGAATGCTGGTTGCGACTGCTATTTAAATACCGTCGTCATATAGCTGGAATATTGCTGGAGTGCGGCGTGAAACAACAACCAAAGCATACCTAGCGGCTTTGGTGATTTTACGTGCGCTTTACGACATGACGCGTACATCTCACATGGTCTGACGATCGTTTTGTCATCTTTTCTGATATAGATATGCGCAGACCAAGATTTTAAAAATCTTTATGTTTCGTTTTAAACCAACCGACCGACCGACCCAATTTCGAACATGATCGCTATGTGAAACACATACAAATGCTGCCCTTGCCATGTCCTCAATTACTCTTCAGGGGTGGTGTGATAACCCAGTGGTTAAAGCGAACGCTCGTCACGCTAAAGGCCCGAGTTTTATTCTCCATTGGGTACAATGTGTGAAGCCAATTTTCGGAGTTCTTCGTGATGAGTGAACTTAAAAACCAAACTCAATCACCCATTACACGTCGTCCTTTATTTGCCGCCTTGTAGTTAGTTCTTGAGGTTAGTTATTGATCAGAGTACGACGTGATTGGATATTCGATTGTAGAGAGTAGCGTTACTAATGAAGATATATAATCACTTCTTGCATATTTGATACCTTCTGTCTGAAGTCTTTATATTGACCGAGTCCCAGTTACATCACACGACGCCAAGGAAGATGTCTGTCCTTCGTGTTCTCGTTTGTGCGATCCTCTACACCAGTGTTCTAAGACTGCATGTACACAGTAAGTACTTTACATATTTCCAGATAGCCATGGATATTTGACCTTTGCACACCATGGTAACACTCGTGAAGATCCCGTTAAAACAGGTCTTCAGCAGCCCAAGCTTGTAGTAAGAGGCGACTAACGGGATCGGGTGGTCAGACTCGCTGACTTCGTTGACACGTGCCATCGTATCCCAAATGCGTAGAACGATGCTCGTGATGTTAATGATGTTGATCACTGAATTGTCTGGTTCAGACTCAACTATTACAGACGGCCGCCTACGGCTGGAATATTGCTGAGTGCAGTGTTAAACAACCAACCAACAAACTAAAGCTGTTAACCAAATGTAATGAAATGTGTTGAGTGTAATCCTGTCCTACAGACGTGGCCACCAACTCAAGGTACCAGGGATGATTACGCAAACCATGGATTCCTTTATTGAAAAGACTGTACATTCAGTGATTGAAGTTGATGATGTTAGTGAGTGAGTGAGTGAGTTAATATTTAACGTCACATCGGCAATATTGCAGCCATATCGTGACGAAAACAAGCCATACAATAAAAAAGTAGAAACATTTTGAAGATTAAAACCTGTCGACGATGGACAGTAAAAAGACTAGAAAATCACAGTCATAAATATAAAACTAGCGCAAAGTTAAAATATTCCAATTAAAGAAGACAATACAATATAAAATACGGGCTATAGATCGCCAACAACCGAAGGTAGATCACCATACTAAGGCCAGTTGATGATGTTAATCTATAGCTGGATTATTGCTGAGTGCAGTGTTAAACAACTAACCAAGCTGACCCCAAATGTATGGAAATGGCCATAAGGCTATTTTTGTGCTTCTCATCTCCAACGTTAACAACCAAGAGACGGGCAGGCGAAAAAAATTAACTGAAAAAGAAATATACACAATTTTTTTCGTTGATTGTGTAACGTAATGTTTTGACATTTTAAATCTTTTGATCAATTGGAAATAATCTTTAAATAAATTTATGATGTGTATAGGGTAGCTGTGCATCAGAAATAGTTTTGGTCAAACTGGGATAGGTTTGTTAAAAGTGTGAAAGGGTAAGGGGCTCTTTTCCACTCTACTAGGGCATAACTTTCGTCAGCGACGGGAAATCTGACAGGAACATTATTCATCTCATGTCGAAATTAAATTTAAGGATGAGAGAATATGGTGGTGGTGAAACAGTGTGTGTTAAAGGTTTAACACTGTTTAGATTTTCTCAGTTAATAACGGCGTGTTAGGTTACAAGGGGTACTTTCCATATTTTGATACTTTTCCTCGGAAGAGGGCGCGAGAGTCGATTTAATGCAACATTGCATTAATTCATTCGAACATTTTAACTTGATATTGTAATCTAAATACGTAATTTTATTTGGAATAAGTTATATGGTTTACTTCCCTGAGGACTGATAGTTAGTCTTTTTGAGGGAAATGCATGATTTATTTTAGAGAAGTGTGGTGTGATATACTGCAAACAAGGACGGGCGGGCGAAAAAAATCAATAAAAATAAAGCAATACAAACAACATTTTTCATTATTGTGTAACGCATTTTGTTTTAAATTTCAAAACTTAGAACAATTGGAAATAGTCTTTAAATAAATTGCCATGTGTATAGAGTCGCTTTGTTTCAGAAATATTTTTTTTATAAATGCATATAAAGAAGGATCAAGCTGAGATAGCTTTGTTCAGAGCGTGTAAGGGTGTGAGGTCCTTTTCATCCTAGTAGTGCATTAATTTTATCCAGCGGTGGCGAAAACTTACATAAACTTATTCATGTCATGTCGAAATCAAGTTTCAGGATGGGTGGGAGATGAGAAAAAATGTAAGGTCGTGGTCGGATGGTGTATGTTAAAGGTTTAACACTGTTTAAGATTTTCTCAGTTTTTGACAGCGTGTTAAATTACTGGGGTTACTTTCCATAAATTGTGACTTTTCTCTGGGACCTTTACCATGCGAAAGATAAATACGTACACACTTCCATTGCAGGTGCAAATATTTCAAATGGGAAAGATGCAAAACAGAGTACTACTCACACTGATTCCAAAGGCACGTCTCGTGGTGCGGAGCGGGCTCTTAATAAGGCTTATGCTGCATTGGGATCATTGACTCTTCCTGGCAGCTCGTCCTGGTGGCAAGTGGACCTTGGGGTTACTTCAGCATCATCAACATCACGATCACAGCAGTCACTCTGTGGGGATGGCGTAAGTTACAGAACCCCTTATACTTTATCATAGAGTGATCATAAATAGATCAGTGGCACGCAATATAGATATGGAACGTTAGATATAGAATTTGTTTGTATATTGCTCAATGCCGCGGTCAGAAATGTTCCAGCTGTACGACAGCGGTCTGTAAATATTTGAGTATGGACCAGCCAATTGACATCATGGAGCTATAGAACTAGTATACGATGACATGTATCAAACCAAGTCCTTGAGATTGACAAGAGCGTGAGTGCAAGTTAATGGCGGTTGTACAAACTGCAAACCAATATTGAAGGTGTAATTACTCTGATCATTATACGAACTGCGCCATGCAGGAGCATATTAATCTTCCTACAGAACTTCTAGAATCGATGCATTTACCTCGCTACAGGGTAAGAATAAACTGACCACAGAGTAAGCAGCTACACATTTACTGGTGTCTTTGGACATTTCTTTGATAACAGATATATACATGCCAAATGCCTACGTGGAGGTGATGGACAAGGATGTCAGCCTCTGCTCTGACGTCCAGGTGGTGTGGTGTGGAGCAGTGTCCAGCACTGTTGCTGCTGGGGAAGAGTTCACCTTCACCTGCAACGCCACGTTCCCCGTCCGCTTTGTCCGTGTCACAAGGAGATCTACTGTCGCCGTAGGTGTACGGATCGGAATTGGACATATCGATATACAAGGGGAAGGGACAAAGAAGCCCCACCGTGAGTAAACCCATTGATTCAACGTTCTTTTCACAAGAATCCAAATCAGTCCAAGGCAGTTCCAAAGCACAATCTCTTTATCCACAAGCTCTGTCTCAAGGTCTGACTCTCTTTCCGTGGGCAAGTTAAGTTTTGACCTTTGTACGTTATCATAACACTACGTCTTGTGAAGACACGGGTTAGAATTGGTCTTCAGCACCCCAAGCTTGTCATAGGAGGCGGCTAACGGGATCGGGTGGACAGATAGCCTGACTTGGTTAACACATGTCATCCCATCCCATTTGCGTAGATCGATACTGATGTTATTAATCATTGGGTTGTCTGGTCCAGACTCGATTATTTTCAGACCGCCGTCTTATGGTTGCAATTACTGAGCGCGGCTTTACACAAACGTCATAGCCTGATGGTGGAGGATGGTGGAATATCTAAATATACCCTTCAAAAAGAAAAGATAAGAAACTATACATGATGTTTTGTAGTTTACTTAGTGAATGCATATAACTGATTTAAACATGACATCATTGCTCAATTATGGTAAAATCATCACTTTACAAATTTCCAAAGTATGATTATCCAGAAAGTGTTTTGGTAAACCCACAGAGGGCTATTAAAGCCACTTGGTCAGAATAGAATGTCAGTATCTGGTGTGGCCACCATGAGCATCGATAACAGCATGCCAGTGGTGACTCATAGAAGAAAGGAAATGCCGAATGCTGTCTTGAAGGATGTTTTGATACTCTTGCTGCAGTGCTGTGTGCAGTTCGTGTAGTGTTTGAGGTGACGGAAGCGTCGATCAAGAGTATCCATAGATTTTCAATGTGGGACAAATCGGCTACTCGAGAAGGCCAAGATAACACCTGAACATTGTTTTGCTGGAGGAAGTCCTGTCAAACACGTGCTAGGTGAGGTCGTGCATTATCATGCTCCAAAGATCAACCGCTGACGTTGATGAAGGGAATGACATGACATTGAACTGGTCTTCTGGCAAAAGTCTTGCTTCCCATAGCCAATTGCGCAGTGTCTGGTCGGAGATTCGGCGCAGTCAAGGGATTTGGATTGTTGTGGACGATGCGGGCGTGGTTTTGAATGAAGATGTCTCAACCGGATGTAGCGATCCTGGGCGGCGTTGGTAACTCTAGGTCGACCTGTCCTAGGTCTGTCATTAACACTCCCAGTATTGTTGTATCGGGTCCATAGGTTTGAGATGGTCTCTCTGAACACGCTGAAGTGCCTTGCCACCTCATGCTGCGATGCCTGTCCTTGTAAACGGCCGATGGCGTTGTGTCGTTGAGCTTCTGTCCGTCTTTTCATTCTCTTGTCGTCTATAGTGGCTTAAAGCAATGCATGTGGAGTCCCATTGATGTCACTTTTTAAAGCCTACGGCCATAGGCTTCAGCTCAGGGTGATACACGATGCGCGTGCATTTCATGTAGGGTGGGTTTTCGCGATTCATTACAGACGGGAGTGTAACGTTACACTTTTGTTCAACGTTTCTTTTTTTCAAACGTTTTGTCATCGACAGCCATTCCCACACATGATGGGATTCAGCATGGATTGGTTTGTGTCAAATATTTTCCTAACACTCAATTTTTTCTATGTATGGTTTCTGATTTTGAAGAGTATACTTCCGAAATAGTGTTTGCAGTTAAACAAACATGTATAACAAGACCTCTTTGATAATATTCAGTAAAAGATGTTGACGTATCTTTCCAAGCTGCCTTTGTTATACAGAAGTCCACAAGGATGGATGGTGTGGTCAGAGTGTGTCATTACTGTCACCCGATGACCTTGACTGTCGATATGGCTGTGGCATTGATGAACACTCGTTCACACATTGAAAAGAATGAATCTTCTTCAGGTTCCTACTACAAAACGTCCAAGAAAAAGACGTCCGAGCCGTTCCTGACCACGTCGGCCATGACAGCTGGCGAATGTGGCATCATTTGTCAAAGGTATTATTCGTGCATCGACTTCAGCTACAGTGCAACAGCACCAACTGATGAAAACTGTCTGCTAACCCACAAGACATTGTCGTCACACTACCTTGACGATAATTCCTGGACAACCTACATCTTGTCCTGTATGTAATCTTTCAACTCAAAATATGGCTCCTTCATTCAAACTTTATGACATTGTACTTTAATGCACTCACTATCACAGCCTATTCCGTTAACCTGGAGGTTTTTCAAGATAGGTTTTCAACAGGTTTTAATAATAGTATTTTCATTGATATATATATATATATTGATGACAACAGTAAATTCTTTTTTTAAAACATATTTTACACAGTTCCAGGTCGATGAGATAACAAACCTGTTGGTGTATATATGTTTCACATGGCAACATTGTGAGTGGCTGGATTCGTAAACCTAGTTAGATACAAAGTAAAAAGTCCCACCTGGCGTTATTGACACGCCGTTAAAGTACAGATAATAATATATATATATATATATACTTTAGGGTTTGTAATATGCGGCATAAAGGGTTAACCTTGTTCAGTGTTGTTCTCCTAGTCTTGATAGTATGACCCTCAGTACTTGCCTCCCTTTGTAATATGTATGTTGACGTACTGATCACAGTTGTTCTACATGTAGTTATTTGGAATTATTTCGACATCAAGAGCGATCTAGTGAAAAGACACCAGTCTAGTCTCCAGTATCACAGAGAACCTATGTTCAAAGGGATGCTTTGGTTGATTGACTTCTGTTGAGTTAATACATGACATCTTTGACACAACAATGTTGTGCAATCGACCAGTATGTCGCGCGTTTGCTTGTCAAGCTGACCCGCACCAAAGCGATATAAATATGTAATTCTTTATTATCTGTTAATGCAATTAGCAACGTCACAAACCACTGGAGCTGTATGTCAAAACATATAAGCTGTCTATCAGAAAGGAGATTATGAGCATGACGCATCATTATCTTAGCAGCTATTCTCTGGAATCATTCTTTGACACAAATGCACTCAAAGACATAAACCAATTTTAATGATAATCAATCACCACAAAGGAAAATACTCGTTTATGGATGTCTGAGCTTTCGATATTCCTGGCAATGTATACTGAAGCGACACAGTCAATGTGTATGTTTGTGATTCTTGAGTGAAGATGGACAGGCTTCATTAGTGACTATACAAATATACACAAGACATTATAACATGTTGGGCTGTGCTCCATCCTTTCATGACAACTGTGGTCTTGTGCCAGTGAAACAGAGCCTATAGCCCTCACCTTTCAGCGATGTTAAGGAGACAGTTATAGATAATATTGTTATAGCCTGTGTTTTACAATGTAAATGATACTGAAATATTAAATTGAGTACAGGGTGTAAACTAGAATTGACTCACCCACTCAATAAGGTCAACTGTAAAATGGTGATGTTCAGCAGGATAAGATGATGTTAAATATAGCTTGTCACTTTGATGATGTGTTTTAGATGTGACGATTCGTGCCTCATGTTTATGTACATACTTGTTCTTAATAAAATAAATATGTTTGATTTGCTGTTTGTTATCTGAACTGATTTGACAGTAAATAAAATAAATATATCACGTACAGCTCGTTCTGAATTGCTCAGTTTGATATTTATTCCATTTTGCCACCATTGTCTTGAAGCTGGTCTCTTCAGATGAATAATTTTCTTTTCATTTGCAACCATAAGTGAGAACAAAACCCCGAATGTTTATTTACAAACACAGAGGTCAGAACTTTGTAGGTGTTCATGTGGTCCGGCGACCTTCCACTGTTAGAACCTCTATCCAGAATACAACTTTAACTTTGCACTATCTGTCCATCATGGTCACGACCAACTGTATGAATCTGATAAGTCGCATTTGTTGGACGTGGAATATATTATTAGGCTTCGGTCATGTAAATAGTGAACGTGGGATTTTAATTTCTTGAAAATACTTGCTCAATGGTTTATTTATTTTCGGGAATTGTGTGGAAGTAAAGCTGAACATTATATAAAAGTAAATCTGTTAAGCACTTTACAGCTCTTAACGAAGACACAATGACATAATGGTGTCATAATGATGACAAGACAGTGTCATTGTTTCGATGGCGTCGACTTCTGAAAAGGTAGTGACGCAATGCTGACAACAGTGACAAGGTAGTGACACAATGCTGACAACGTGACAAGGTAGTGACACAATGCTGACAACGTGACAAGGTAGTGACACAATGCTGACAAGATGACTTTGACAAGGTAGTGACACAATGCTGACAACGTGACAAGGTAGTGACACAATGTTGACATCGTGACAAGCTAGTGACACACAATGCTGACAACATGTGACAAGGTCGTGACGCAATGCTGACAACGTGACAAGGTAGTGACACAATGCTGACAACGTGACAAGGTAGTGACACAATGCTGACAACGTGACAAGGTAGTGACACAATGCTGACACCGTGACAAGGTAGTGACTCAATGCTGACAACATGTGACAAGGTAGTGACACAATGCTGACAACGTGACAAGATAGTGACACAATGCTGACAACATGACAAGGTAGTGACACAATGTTGACAACGTGACAAGGTAGTGACTCAATGCTGACAACGTGACAAGGTAGTGACACAATGCTGACAACATGTGACACAAATGCTGACAACGTGACAAGGTAGTGACACAATGCTGACAACGTGACAAGATAGTGACACAATGCTGACAACATGTGACACAATGCTGACGACATGTGACAAGATGACACAATGCTGACAACATGACAAGACAAGGTGAGTAGTGACACAATGCTGACAACATGTGACAAGATAGTGACGCAATGCTGACAACATGTGACAAGGTAGTGACAACATGTGACAATGCTGACAACAATGCTGACAACATGTGACAAGGTAGTGACACAATGTTGACAATGTGTGACAAGGTAGTGACACAATGCTGACAACATTTGACAAGGTGACAACAACGTGACAAGCACAATGCTGACAACATGTGACGAGGTCGTGACGCAATCACAACGTGACAAGGTAGTGACACAATGCTGACAACGTGACAAGGTAGTGACACAATGCTGACAACGTGACAAGGTAGTGACGCATGTTGACAACGTGACAAGATAGTGACACAATGCTGACAACATGTGACACAATGGACAAGGTAATGACACAATGCTGACAACGTGACAAGATAAATACAAGACAACATGCTGACACTCAAGGCTGACAATGCCGACATGTGACAAGGTAGTGACACAATGACAATATGACAAAAGTGACACAATGATGACAGTGACAAGGAGAACAGTGACAAATGCTGACAACATGTGACGAGAAAGTGACACAATGCTGACAACATGTGACGTGCTGATTTTGGAGTTGGCCTTCAGGCAAAGTTGGATGATTACGTTATTATGGCCATGGGCTACGTGGTCGGGTACGCTTTTCAAATCACAATGATGACCCGTGTTCGATTGCTAATAGCGGCATAAAACCATACTCACTCATTCCAATGACTGATTTCATCTACTTTGATTCAGCGCAGTCTGTGTTAGTTATTGAAAATCTGCAAATATGACAACAAATGATATTGCTGTATGATGGCTTTATTTCCTGACTACCAAAGGAAACAGAAAATATTAGGGTTTCTGTTAAGGTAGTCTATTTCTCCTTTCCAGATTGATTTCTGTTCAAAACAGTCAAACTAAAGTAGAATAAAATTTACACATGTTTTGCTCTTCTTTTTCTATGACCATATGTACAAATCAAGATTTGTAAAATTGTTTTAAACTAACCGACCAATCCAAACTTTAGATCATGGTGGCCTGACCACGTCCTCAGTTACTCTTCAGGGCGATATCCTGGCCTAGTGGGTAAAAGTGAACGCTCGTCGGGCTTTTCTATTCCCCACATGCGTGAAACTCATTTTCAGTGTTCCTCGTGATATTGCTGGAATATTGCTGACAGCAACATAAAACCAAACGCACCTCCTCACTCATTGCTGGTTTTATTTGCCATCTTGTAGTTAGTTCTTGAGACAAGATATTGATCAAATTTATATAATATATTAAAGAAACTTTTCAATGACTGATTCAATCTACCTTAATGCAGCGCAGTCTGTGTTATTGACTGGAAATCTACAATTATGACAACAAATAATCCTGCTGTTTGAAGTTTTTAGTTCCCATGACTGGATATTCGATTTTAGTGAGTAGCGTTACTAACGAAGAGTGATTAACATTACTTCTTCAATATTTAATACCTTTTGTCTGAAGTCTTGCTATAGACTGGGTCTCAGTTACATCACAAGACGCCATATGAAGATGTCTGTCCTCCATGTTCTTGTATGTGCAGTCCTCTACACCAGTGTTCCAAGACTGTATGTACACAGTGAGTACTGTACATATTTCCAGATACCCGTGAATATTTGACCTTTCTAGGTCATCGTAACACTCGTGAAGATCTTGGTTTTCACCAACTCATGCTTGTCGTGAGAGGCGACTAACGGGATCGGGTGGTCAGGCTCGATGACTTGGTTGACACATGTCATCGTATCCAAGTTGCGTAGAGCGATGCTCATGATGTTAATGATGTTGATCACTGGATTGTCTGGTTCAGACTCAAGTATTACGGCTGGAATATTGCTGTGTGCAGTCTTAAACAACCAACCAACAAACTAAAGCTGTTAACCAATTGTAATGAAATGTGTTTGGTGTAATCCTGTCCTTTCAGACGTGGCCACCAGCTCAACGTACCAGGGATGATTTCGTAAACCATGGATTCGTTATTGAAAAGACTGTCCATTCAGTGATTGAAGCTGACCATGTTATTACGCTTAGTTACAAGGCGATTGTCATAAGGCCATGTTTTTGTGCTTCTCATCTCCAGAATTAACAAGCAAGAGACGGGGAAGCGACAAATTTCAATTAAAAAGAAATACACACAACATTTTCGTTGATTGTGTAACGTAATGTTTTGACATTTTAAAACTTAGATCAATTGGAAATAGTCTTTAAATTAATTTATGATGTGTATAGAGTCGCTGTGCATCAGAAATAGTTTTGATCAAGCTGGGATAGGTTTGTTAAATTTGTGTAAAGGTAAGGGGCTCTTTTCCATCCTACTAGGGCATAAATTTTGTCAGCGGCGGGGAAAACTGACAAGAGAAAATTACTCATTTCATGTCGAAATTAAATTTAAGTACGAGAGATAAGCAAAAATAGTGGTGGTGAAACAGTGTATGTTAAAGGTTTAACACTGTTTAATATTTTCTCAGTTATTCACAGCGTACTGTTAGGTTATAGGGGTACTTTCCTTATTTTTATACTTATACCCGTGACCTTTACCATGCAAAAGGTAAAACGTACACATTTTCATTGCAGGTGCAAATATTTCAAATGGGAAAGATGCAAAACAGAGTACTACTCACACTGATCACACAGGCACCTCTCATGGTGCTGATGGGGCTCTTAATAGGTCTTATGCTGCATTGGGATCAATGACACTTCTTGGCAGCTCGTCCTGGTTGGAAGTGGACCTTGGGGTTACTTCAGCATCACCAACATCACGATCACAGCAGCCACTCAGTGGGGATGGCGTAAGTTACAGAACGCCTCATACTGTATCATCGAGTGATCTTTAATTGATCAGTGACACACAGTGTAGATAACGTTATTTCTAAAGAACAACCAGACTCATCTGTGTTAAGACACAAATTCCGTTTGGTGTTAAGCGAAAATAGCTGTGACGATAGCATGAATGCATCACTGAAAATCGGTGATGACACCGGGTGTTCGCGAAAAGAGTAAGCATGTCCTGATCTTTGTTAAGTGCAATTCATGGAAATACATCAAATGTCATCCATGATAACATTGGAAGATGTAATGACTTTTGTTAATATTTGGTGAAACCCAAATTGCACAAAACAGTTGGTTTTCATTTGAGCGAGTGAATGGGTGATTTAACGTGACATCGGCTTCTTTTCTGCCATTACGGAGATAATACCAAGTTTGCACTTGAATTCATAGCCATGTTTATGAGCAATGATTCATGCAGTTTACCTTTGCAATGTTATTTACAAATAAAAACACATTCTGTAAGCCACCTGGCTGGGGATCATGATTACTTACGGTACCTCTGATTCCTGCGTGGAGGATTAACGTCATCGCTTAAGTTAATGGCGGTTGTACAAACTACTAACCAATATTAAAATGATAATTACTCTGATCATGATAGGAACTGCGCCAAACAGGAGCATAATCTTCCTACAGAACTTCTAGAATCGATGCATTTATCTCGCTACAGGGTAAGAGTAAACTGACCACAGAGTAAGCAGCTACACATTTACTGATGTTTTTGGACATTTCTTTGATAACAGATGTACACATGCCAAATGCCTACGTGGAGGGAATGGACAAGGATGTCAGCCTCTGCTCTGACGTCCAGGTGGTGTGGTGTGGAGCAGTGCCCAGCTCTGTTGCTGCTGGGGAAGAGTTCACCTTCACCTGCAACGCCACGTTCCCCGTCCGCTTTGTCCGTGTCACAAGGAGATCTCCTGACACCGTAGGTGTACGGATCGGAATTGGACATATCGATATACAAGGGGAGGGGACAAAGAAGCCTTACCGTGAGTAACCCATTGATTCAACGTTCTTTTCACAAGAATCCAAATCAGTCCAAGTCAGTTCCAAAGCGTATCTCTTATTCTCAATGTTTGTCTCACGGTCTCACTCTCTTTGCGTGGGCAAGTAAAGTATTTGACCTTTGCGCATTATCATAACACTGGTGAATTGGTCTTCAGCATCCCAAACTTGTTGTAAGAGGCGGCTAATGGGATCGGATGGTCAGGCTCGCTGACTTGGTTGACACATGTCATCGTATCCCATATAGGTAGATTGATACTCATGTTGTTAATCACTGGGTTGTCTGGTCCAGACTCGATTATTTTCAGACCGCCGTCTTATGGTTGCAATTACTAAGCGCAGCTTTACAAAAACGTCATAGCTTGATGCTGGAGGATGGTTGAATAACTAAATATACCCTATAAAAAAGAAACTATAATGTTTTGGATTTTACTTACTGAGTGCGTATAACTGATTCAAACATGACATCATTGCTCAATTATAGTACAATCATCACTTTACAAATTTCCAAAGTATGATTTTAAAGAAAGTGTTTGGTAAACCCACAGAGGGCTATTAAAGCCACTTAGTCAGAATAGAATGTCAGTATCTGGTGTGACCACCATGAGCATCGATAACAGCTTGGCAGCGGTGACCCATAGAAGAAAGGAAATGCCGAATGCTTTCTTGGGGATGTTTTGATACTCTTGCTGAAGTGCTGTGTGCAGTTCGTGTAGTGTCTGAGGTGACGGAAGCGTTGATCAAGAGTATCCCATAGATTTTCAATGTGGGACAAATCGGCTGCTCGAGAAGGCCAAGATAACACCTGAACATTGTTTTGCTGGAGGAAGTCCTGTCAAACACGTGCAATGTGAGGTCGTGCATTATCATGCTCCAAAGATCAACCGCTGACGTTGATGAAAGGAATGACGTGACACTGAACTGGTCTTCTGGCAAAAGTCTTGCTTCCCATAGCCAATTGCGCACTGTCTGGTCGGAGATTCGGCGCAGTCCAGGGATTTGGATTGTTGTGGATGATGCGGAAGATGTCTCAACCGGATGTAGCGATCCTGGGCGGCGTTGGTAACTCTAGGTCGACCTGTCCTAGGTCTGTCGTTAACACTCCCAGTATTGTTGTATCGGGTCCATAGGTTTGAGATGGTCTCTCTGGACACGCTGAAGTGCCTTGCCACCTCATGCTGCGATGCCTGTCCTTGTAAACGGCCGATGGCGTTGTGTCGTTGAGCTTCTGTCAGTCTTTTCATCCTCTTTTCGGCTATAGTGGCTTAAAGCAATGCATGTGGGTGCGTTTTCGCGATTCACTACAGACGTGAGTGTAACGTTACACTTTTGTTCAACGTTTCTTTTTCAAACATTTTGTCATCGACAACCATTCCCCCACATGCTAGGATTCAGCATTGATTGGTTTGTGTCAAATATTTTTCTAAAATTGAAATTTTTCCTATGTATAGTTTCTTGTTTTTGAAAAACAAGATCTTGTATTACTGTCATCCGATGACCTCGATATGGCTGTGGCGTTGATGAACACTCGTTCACACATTGAAAAGACTTAATCTTCTTCAGGTTCCTACTACACAACGTCCAAGAAAAGACGTCCGAGCCGTTCCTGACCACGTCGGCCATGACTGCTGGCGAATGTGGCATCATTTGTCAAAGGTATTATTCGTGCATCGACTTCAGCTACAGTGCAACAGCACCGACTGATGAAAACTGTCTCCTTACCCACAAAACATTGTCGTCATACTACCTTGACGATAATTCTTGGACAACCTACATCTTGTCCTGTATGTAATCTTTCAACTCAAAATACGGCATGCTTCATTCAAACTTTATGACATTGTACTTTAATGCACTCACTATCGGTTGTACAAACTGCAAACCAATATTGAAGGTGTAATTACTCTGATCATTATAGGAACTGCGCCATGCAGGAGCATAATCTTCCTACAGAACTTCTAGAATCGATGCATTTACCTCGCTACAGGGTAAGAATAAACTGACCACAGAGTAAGCAGCTACACATTTACTGGTGTCTTTGGACATTTCTTTGATAACAGATGTACACATGCCAAATGCCTACGTGGAGGGAATGGACAAGGATGTTAAACAAATGTGTTGATCACACTAACTTTTGCCTTTGAGTATATTTATGTCATGTCGAAATTAAGTTTCAGGATGGGTGGGAGATGAAAATAAGGTAAGGTGGTGATTAAATGGTGTATGTTAAAGGATTTACTCTGTTTAAGGTTTTCTCAGTTATTGACGGCGTGTTAGATTACGAACGTCAGTGCAAAAGAATAGAGTCATCTATTATCAAAACCAAATTCCGATTGGAGTAAAGGAAAAGGTAGCTGTGACAATTACATGAATGGATCACTGAAATGGGGTATGCATGTCCTGCCCTATACATCAACATTATAAATTTTAGTTTACCTCATGTTGCGAGGCTTTTTAATATGCAATGTCATTCATGATCAAATTTAAACATTTGAAGATGTAACAACTTTGGTTTATAGTTTGATTGAACCAAAACTGCGCAAAACGACACCACGTGTTCACATGTATATAATGAATTCAAAGTCATGTTTAACAGTAATTTGTTTATGGATTAATTTTATTATTACATTATTGTTTACAATTTAAAACACGTTCTGTAAGCCACCTGGCTGGGGATCATCGGGACTTACGGTACCTCTGCTTCTTGCATGGAGGACTAACGTCATCATGTGGGCTAGTGGTGGCTGTACGAAGTGCTAACCAATATTAAAATGGTAATTACTCTGATCATTATAGGAATTGTGCCATCCAGGGGCATAATCATTTTACAGAACTTCTAGAATCGATGCATGCATCTAGCTACAGGGTAAGGAAAAATTGACCACACAGTAAGCAGTTTTTCATTTATTGGTGTTCTTGGACATCTACCCGTGAAGATCCAGGCTAGAATTGGTCTTCACTCTTCAGTAATCCATGCTGGTCTTGAGAGACGACTTGCGGGATCGAATGGTCAGGCCCGCTGACTTGCCGACACATGTCATCGTATCCCAATTGAGTAGATCGATGTTAATGCTATTGATTACTGGATTGACTGGTCCAGAGTCGATTATTTACAGACCGCCGCCATATGGCTGGAGTGCGGCGTTAATCAACAATCAATCAATCTTGGACATAACTTTGAGAACAGATGCAAACACGAACAATGCCAACGTGGAAGTGATGGACAAGGATGTCAGCCTCTGCTCTGACGTCCAGGTTGTGTGGTGTGGAGCAGTGTCCATCTCTGTTGCTGCTGGGGAAAACTTCACCTTCACCTGCAACGCCACGTTCCCCGTCCGCTTTGTCCGTGTCACAAGGAGATCTACTGACACCGTAGGTTTACGGATCGGAATTGGACATATCGATATACAAGGGGAAGGGACAAAGCCCTACCGTGAGTAAACCATCGATTCAACGTTTTTGTTTTTTAAGTTCAAGTCAGTCCCAAAGCATAATCACTTATTCTCAAGCTCTGTCTCAAGCCCTTCCTCTCCTTTGGAAGTTAAGTATTTGACCTTAGCACGTTATCATGGGCAGATCAGAGTTAGAAGTGGCCTTCGGCAATCCATGCTTGTTGTAATCTTGAGGCGGCTAACGGGACTGGGTGGCCAGATAGCCTGAGTTGGTTGACACATGTCATTGTATACCATTTGGATAGATCGATACTCATGCCGTTAATTACTGGGTCGGGATAAGGAGAAAACGGACCCCCAACAAATCGAGAAAACCACCATCACGCTGGAGAGAACGGCCTCCGAACCTAGAGAAAACGGCCTCTGTGCCTAGAGAAAACGGCCAACATAGTTGCACCAAGATCAAAGGAGATTATATGATTATATATATATTCTAAATAATAGAGATATACTTCATTGTAGTGGTGGTCCGATTAACTGAAATAATCGAAGATTGGTAGCAGTGGCCAAACGACCAAGCAATCGATCACATTTTCTCATAATCGAACACAAACGATTTTGGAACCGCTGTAACAGAGTTTGAAATACTTGATGATAGAACATATGTAGGACGCTGTCAGGGCCTGAAAACGTGTTTATTTCTAAGAAAACTCTCTTCACTTCCTGAAAAGTCATGACTGAATATTTCTTGAAGAATCTGGGAAGTTTATGTTACACTGGAACTGAATCATTTTACACTGGATGTGAAATTTGCAAATGTAATTTGTGCAGTTTCAAAAACTACAACAGAGAACCAAATGTTTTTCTTTATACTTATCTGCAACTACAACCTGAATAGGAAAATCTAAAAAATGATGCGAACTAATTTTTTCGATGATTGGTCGTTGGTATTAAACCAATCATCAATTGTGAGATTTCAAGCAATTCCCAACACTACTTCATTGCAGATAAGCTTTTAAAAATGGATTGATTAGATTTTTTTATATTGACGAGCGGATCAGTAGATTATTTAATTACTAGTAAATCAAATGTTAGTAAAGAAGTCTGTTTTAACTAGTTTCAACTTTTGTTCTTGTAGTTCCGCCATGGTTCCTTTTATGGTGACATATCTTCAGTTGTTGGCAATCTATATGCTGTTTTTATATTGTATTGTCAACTGTAGTTTAAAATCTTTTAAATTTGATTAATTTAAATTTGTGTCACAAGTCTGTTGCAATTGTATCATTTAAATCTTATGTCCACGTGAAGGCAAATGTGAACCTAAATTTTATTCATATGGAATAAAGAAGTTAAATGTTTGGCACACAAGATTAAGATATATGACGAGTACACTTAATTATGATATAATGATGATTTATATTTTAAATATGATGCATCATGTCAATGTAGGCCATGATTGTGAGAATGTTTTTCATTACTTCCTTGAATGTCCATTGTATACTATTCAAAGACATAAACTGTTACAATCTTTAGAAGGTATTGTTAAATTTAGAACACTGACTGGTATTAATCTTATCTTATATGGCAATGCAAGTGTCTCATTTACTGAAAATCAGAAAGTTTTCAAATATGTACATATCTATATCTCTCCTACAAAACGCTTTCTCAGTTAACTTCTGTTGTACATATCCTATTATTGTGAGCGGGCTTTTCTATCAATAAACACAATCAAACCTCTCAGTGACAAACCTGTTTTATATTCGATAGTAATTGATAGTAAAAACAGTTTTGAGAAGAAAATCTTTTTTCATTTAATCACAACAAAGTTCTATTTGCACACAATCAAACTTCTCTGTAGCCTGTTTCTGGCTCAGCCTACTCTCCTCACTAGACAGTGGACTATTCAATTATACCCGTAGGTGTCACCCTAATTAACCTTCTAGTTCAGTGTCTGTCAATTGGGTGTGTGTCAAATGGGTGTCTGTCAATTGGGGAGTTAACCGCCACCATGAGTCAGGTCAAGATATCCAATCGCTCTGCTACTCCCTGTGTACTGACTGACGTTAGAGTGAGAAAACATGTTAGTAAAAGAATTAATAGATCATCTTATCTAATACTTTCACCGCCAACCATTGAGTAATGATAACATCTTCCCGTGCTTATTCAATAATTAACTACTGCCAGAAATAATCCTTCATTCTGCTTCAAACAGTCATTCTATATGTACAACATTATACATAGATACAAATTGTAGAAGTACAACCTAAAACTTTGACATGGCTATGTTATCATTGTTGTTGCCTTCCTATTATGATATTGATTTAGAGGTGAATAAAAGCAAAATATAATGCATATAGTTTTCTGTTATATATACTGAGTAAAAAACACTTCACATTCTTTCTTCAGGGCACTATAAAAGAACAAGAGATAGTAAGATGGTGAAATTGTTATAATTTCATTGCTGAGAGCTGTGTGATGTACTCGATACACTGACAGTGCCATAATCAGTTCCACTAGGCTACACCGCCGTTCCAAAACATGGGTATACAGAATGTCAAGTCACAAGAATAAAAATGCGAAATTTCTCAGTTCAATATCGTGTATGGCCGCCCCGCCCATTCACCACTGCCAAACACCGTCTCCTCATCGACTGCCTGATGCTTGTGAACACGTGGTTGTGGATTCTGCGCCAAGTTCCTGCAAATTCTGAGGTTGGTTCCTAAGACCACGAAGCCTTCTCCCAAGTGCATCCCAAACCTGCTCTATTGGATTAAGGTCAGGGGACCTCGATGGCCAGTCCATGACGTTGATTCCAGCGTTTTGAAGGAAATTTCGTGTCAACATCGCGGTATGCGGCCGAGCATTATCATGCTGGAACTGTAGACCTGGGCCATGAGCCGCCATGAAAGGAACGAGTTCAGGTGTGAGCACCTGGTCGCGGTAAGCAGCAGCTGTGAGGTTTCCACGGATGACCAGAAGTCGGGAATGGTTGTTCCCACAGAAAGTCCCCACACCATGCAACTTCCGCCCCCGAATCTGTCGACTTCCTGGACACAACATACCGTTCACGACGTCGTCTCCAGACTCTATGTCTGTCGTCCGCGAATCTGAGGGTAAACCTGGATTCATCGCTAAAGACGACTCGATTCCAGTCTCTCTGGGTCCATCGGAGGTGACGTTGGGCCCACAGCAGACGTTGACGTTGATGAAACGGCGTCAATATTGGCCCACGATATGGACGTCGAGAATAGAGATTGGCAGCCCACAACCGATTTCAGAATAGTCTGTGAGGACAGTCGACCTCTACACATCTCAGCCCTGGTTCGTGTAGCCGGCAGAAATCTGTCACGTAGGTGACGTAGGACGATTTGACGGTCTTCTGCTCGTGACGTCACACGTGGACGACCCGACCTTGGGCGATCAGAAGTGGTGCCAGTTTGTTGTAGACGACCTCGCAAGTCATACA